GACTAAAACTAAACCAGGTCTAAACCAGGTCTAAACCAGGACTAAACCAGGTCTAAAACCAGGTCTAAACCAGGACTAAAACCAGGTAAACCAGGACTAAAACCAGGTCTAAACCAGGACTAAACCAGGTAAAACTAAAAGGACTAAAACCAGGTCTAAAACCAGGTAAACTAAAACTAAACTAAACCAGCTAAACCAGGACTAAAACCAAACAGGTCTAAACCAGGAAACCAGGTCTAAACCAGGACTAAACCAGGTCTAAACTAAAAGGTCTAAACCAGGTCTCTAAACCAGGTCTAAAACCAGGTCTAAACCAGGTAAACCAGGTCTAAACCAGGATAAACTAAACAGGACTAAAACCAGGTCTAAACCAGGTCTAAACCAGGACCAGGTAAACTAAACCAGGACTAAACCAGGACTAAACCAGGTCTAAACTAAAACCAGGACTAAAACCAGGTCTAAACCAGGTCTAAACCAGGACTAAAACTAAACCAGGACTAAAACCAGGTAAACCAGGTAAAACCAGGTCTAAACCAGGTCTAAACCAGGTCTAAACCAGGACTCTAAAACCAGGACTAAAACCAGGACTAAACCAGGTCTAAAACCAGGTCTAAACCAGGACTAAACCAGGACTAAACCAGGTCTAAAACCAGGTCTAAACCAGGTCTAAACTAAAACCAGGTCTAAACCAGGTCTAAACCAGGTCTAAACCAGGACTAAAACCAGGTCTAAACCAGGTCTAAACCAGGACTAAAACCAGGACTAAACCAGGACTAAAACCAGGTCTAAACCAGGTCTAAAACCAGGACTAAAACCAGGTCTAAACCAGGTCTAAACCAGGTCTAAACTAGAAAAGATACTACTAGCATGTTAACACACCCTTCCTGATTATCAAAAATAATAATAGATTTGCTTTTACCTCAAAACTGTACTGGAGCAAGACACATTTTACTCAAATATGTGGAAAAAAAAATCACGAACAGGACTTTTAAAAACACATCGAGTCGAATTTTTAGACAACCTTGAGTACCGCAGATTGAGAACCTGCCTGGCCTCCTCTCCAAACCCTGTAAAGTCTCTATCATTTATTCATCTTCTGCTCCAAAACTCAACTTATTCAAAAAAAAAACAGCCTGCAGAAGTTGATCCTGCACTTTTGCCTTTAAATAATATTAAATCTTTACACTTCTTACACTTTTCTGGAAAGTTTGTGTTGAATGTTTCTCTCGATCGCTAACCTTAAGCGCCACATCTTTCGCGATAACTACAGATAACTACTCGCTTTAATGCGGTTAAGAGGCGTGAACCTTAAGCCGCTAAATTTGATAAGGAGAAGAGACGCTAAGAAACTGCTCCCATCAGAATGACATTTTCTACGGCGAATTTAAAGTGAAGTTTTGTTTAGTTGTGGATGGTTTTTGCAGTGAAAAGTTGCTTGGTGAAAATTGGACATAGACGGGTTTTGACCATAGACGGTATTTTGGTCTTAAAATGTCTGTATTAATGAGCTCTACATGATCCTGGTGTTTTAATCGTAACCGTTGGCATCACGAGCTTCATTTGAGTGGAGCTGAACATTATAGGTGACGTCACACTCACTTCGTCCACTTTTTTATCATTTAGTCTACGGTTTAAAGGTTGTATGGAGGATTTTTTTTTGTTTCAAATTGTCAGTGAAAGTTTTAAATACCATTACAGAGACGCAGCAGCTTTGTAATTATGATGACCAAAAAAAAAAAAGAATGAAAATCTATCAACTGTGGACGTAGTGAGGACAGATAAACATCAGCCAATAGAAAACGAGGCTCCCTCATTTTCTATTGGCTGTCAGGTTGTCAATCAAACTCCCTAGTGTAACTGAGTCGTCGGCGCACAGGGATTATGTGGTTTATGCAGCGGTTCTTAGAGGCTTTTTTAAACTGTAGTTTCCTCGCATTTCGCACAAAGTTTGTCACGATGGCGGACGAGAATCCACGACCAGTTCGCCGCAAAAGAAAGTCCGTTTTTGAGGTCGCTGAAAGAAGAAGGAGAAAAGGAGCGAAGACAAACTGAGGTGATTCTTGGAGATTCCTTCCACTGATGGTGCAACTGAAACAGACGAAGGGTCTAAAAACTGACGCATCGGTCACTAAATTACCTCTAGACAGGAAACTTCAACAGTAATTCTGAACGCGCACAAGGACTGTCGCTGTATTTCTCTTCCCTTAAAAAAATCCTCTATACAACCTTTAAACATGTTTTTGTTCATTTTTGGATTCAGATCAGCGGTGAAGAATAAAGGAAAACTGCACCAGTAACTGACAAAGCTTTATATGAATTTTCTTACTTAAAAACAAAGACATAAGGATGGCAAGATTGTTCCTGAAGGTGTATTGAAAAGTGAAACTGTTGAGAAAAAAAAGAAAAGAAAAAAGAAACAGAGCTTTGCAGTCATAAAAAAAAAAAAATAATAATAAAAATAATCGTATTATTTAATGATGTATTATATAGCATTTTCCAGATGCTAAAAGTCACTTTACAATTTGGTTTATTGTTGTGGCCATACGCCTTGTCAAAGCCTGATCCCGTCAGATCTCAGAGGCTAAACAGGACCGGACCAGGTTAGTACTTTTTATTGTGTTTTTATTGTAGTTTTAACATGTTTTCTGTATAATATGTATATGTAACTGTTTCTTCTATGTTGTTGACTTGTATGTGAAGCACTTTGGTCAACTGAAGTTGTTTTAAATGTGCTTTATAAATAAACTTGAGTTGAATTGAAACTTGAATGTGAGACCAGGGTTAAAATCAGGAGCCACAGGAGGCGCCAGTCACAAAAACTGTTGTTGTGTCCTTAGGCAAGACACTTCACCTGCATTGCCTAGTATGAAAGTGGTGTGTGTGTGAGTGTTGGCAGTGGTTGGAGGGACTGATGGCGCAGATTGGCAGCTTCGCTTCCATTGGTCTGCCTCAGGGCAGCTGTGGCTACAGTAGTAGTTTAGCACCACTGAGTTTTGAGTGAATGAATAAGGAACTGTAAAATGCTTTGAGTATCTTGAAAGGTGCTAAAGAAATGCAATGATTAAAGGTTGTATAGAGGATTTTTTTAAGGGAAGAGAAATACAGCGACAGTTCTTTTACAAATGTTGTGCATGCGAGTTTTTAGACCCTTCGTCTGCTTCACTCGCGCAATCGCTGGAAGGAATCTCCAAGAATCACCTCAGTTTGTCTTCGCTCCTTTTCCCCTTCTCTTCTTCTTTCAGCGACCTCAAGAACCGACTTTCTTTTGCGGCGAACTGGTCGTGGATTCTCGTCCGCCATCGCAACAAACTTTGTGAGGAAGTGACAGTTTGAAAAAGCCTCTAAGAACCGCTGCATAAACCACGTGATCCCTGCATCCCGACGAGTCAATTACACTAGAAACGTAGGGAGTTTGATTGATGACCTGACAGCCAATAGGTAAAGAGGCAGCCTCGTTTTCTATTGGCTGATGTTTATCTGGCCTCAACACGTCCACAGTTGATCAATTTTCATTCTTTTTTTTTTGGTCATCGTAATTACAAGGCTGCTGCGTCTCTGTAATGGTATTTTAAACTTTCATTGACAATTTGAAACAAAAAAAAAAATCATACAACCTTTAATTATTCATTCACTGGTGATAAGATACTATTGCAGCCACAGCCGCCCAGGGGCAGACTGACAGAAGTGCGGCTGCCAATCTGCACTGTTGGCCCCTTCAACCATCATCACACACACACACACACACACACACACACACACACACACACGCACACACACACACACACACACACACACACACACACACACACACACACACCACTTTGATACCAGGCAATGTGAGTTTTTGTCTGGCGCCCCCCTGTGGTCCCTGATATTCCCAGTTTGTCTCCCATCCAAGTTCTAACCTGCAGAGCTTCAGAGATTTGATGAGAAGGTTTGGCCGTTTTTGAAGAGGATAAGTTAAAGATGCTCCATTTAACTTCTCTGCTGGTTTCCATGGAGACGTTATTACATTATCTGGAATATTCCACAGTAGAGCATCACATTAAACTAATCTATAGTGCATAAATAATACACACATGATACACAGGCCTGGTGGCGCCACCTGCTGTCGCCATTAGAAAAGTTTAATGCCATGACACAGGAGAGACTTTGACAAACGCAGAGGGACACGCTCGGATATTCTGAGCAACAGCTGCTCCACAAACTAACACTTTTCCATACGCTTAAATCAACTAATCCACACTTTTTTTTTTTTGGTAAACATTTTTTTGGAGATTACTAGAACTGTCACAATTAAAAAAAATAAAATAAAATAAAAAATTGACATTAATTTTTGCCACTGACACCTTACCAAAAAGTAAAATAAATAAATAAATACATAAATAAATAAAATAAAACAAAAAAAAAAAACTAAAATGTATATAATTAAAAACACAAACGGCAATAAATAAATCAATAATCACACTGTAATGAACCATAAAAGTTTTTTATTCAGCCCTTCACAGCTCAAATCTGATCACAGAACATAAGACTTAAAGGTTGTATAGAGGATTTTTTTAAGGGAAGAGAAATACAGCGACAGTCCTTGTGCGCATTTAGAATTAGTGTTGAAGTTTCCTGTCTAGAAGTAATTCAGCGACCGACGCGTCAGTTTTTAGACCCTTCGTCTGCTTCGGTCGCGCCATCGCTGGACGAGATCTCCAAGAATCACCTCAGTTTGGCTTTGCTCCTTTTCCACTTCTCTTCTTCTTTCAGCGACCTCAAAAACGGACTTTCTTTTGCGGCGAACCGATCGTGGATTCTCGTCCGCCGTCGCGACAAACTTTGTGTAAAATGCGAGGAAGCGACAGTTCGAAAAAGCCTCTAAGAACCTCTGCATAAACCACGTAATCCCCGCGCTCCGATGAATCAGTTACACCAGGGAGTTTGATTGACAACCTAACAGCCAATAGAAAATGAGGGAGCCTCGTTTTCTATTGGCTGATGTTTATCTGGCCTCAACACGTCCACAGTTGATAGATTTTTGTTCTTTTTTTTTTTGGTCATCATAATTGCAAAGCTGCTGCGTCTCTGTAATGGTATTTTAATCTTTGACTGACAGTTTGAAACAAAAAAAAAAATCCTCCATACAACCTTTAAAGAAAAGTTTCACTCTTTTTTTTTTTTTTGGTTAATTTCACAGTGATTTTAGTTCATTTAGAAAACAAACCGGTTCTTCTTTGAGCACCCCAAAGGAAATGTGTCGTCTTTGACCCACCCGTCACTGTTTTTGGGTTAAACCTGAGCAGCATCATCTCCAGACA